ATTAATTTGGTTTGTTTAACTCTTATTGGGAAGATAGGTTCCACAGAAAAATGTGCAAGTAGGTAAATCCATGAATACTGAATGGCGAACCATGGCTAACACTCCAGGTTTAGCTTTACCAGATTACAGGACATGTCTCCAAAAATTGTTTGTCTTCCTGCTTGAATTAGTAAACTATCATTTGACTTTTTAAGATGCTTTTTGAGCATTGAGAGTAATGAAAGTTGCCCTTAAAAATTTTAATATTGATTAACATATTTGATGTGTATTTGCTTGATGATTTTGTTGATGGCATTTGACAAACAGTTCAAGTAGTCATCAATTGTGTTATAATTGATGACTATGATGCTTTTATGATGTAATCGCCTTGTTGCTATACAAATGAACTTGACTTAATGACTTTCCAGCTCATGTTGATAAAAGGATTTGTCACTGGTTGCAGAAACTCATCTCAATACTTGCTCTACTTATGATGAGCTATGGGCCTTGCCCATTTGTAGTCTGATATCTGGGAAAACAAATACATTTTTATGAATTTTGGCTTTCATCCACACAAAAACTCTGTTTTATAATACTAAAAACAATATTTTTTTAAAACTGACCAAAGTGGATATTTCAGAAAACTCCGTATTTGTGTTTGTGTGTGTATGTATAGGTCTCGCCAGCCGAATGACAGCAGCTATCCAAACAGCTAAATAGAACGAATGCAGAAACTCCACAGACTCAGGAATGACGTCTTGAAGTATTTACTGACATCAATTTTCTGTGAAACTGTAACAGGATAACAAAGAAATACATATAAGTATTGTTGCTGTAGTAACAACGTCAAAATCACTACATACACCGTCTCTATACATAGACTAGTGGTCCGAGTTAGTTTAGCATCCGGTCGAATTTACTTCTAACAGAAAAATACATAATTTCTCTACAAATGAAGATGTCTGCGATAACTATTCTCATATGTAATCAATTCAACTTATAATACTTACAGATGATGCTTTAGCGAGCAAGAAAACAACGTAAGCAGGACCGAGGAACTGCCATGCGGCTGAAACTGTGCTGTACTTCCCGTTTCTATTTTCCGTACTGCTTTTGACAACTACTAAGAATGACCACTAGATGGCATTGTTTAGCACAAATTAGATAACAACAAAACAGTGAACATAACGGTGTATATGAGAAAACAAAGTTTCAGAATGCCGCACATCAAGGTCAAATAATGTGCTAATGTAGGAACATACTTGCTTTGATAAGATTCCCAATCAACATCGCCTTGTGTTTTATTAACTTTATATTCTAACATGCTATTTAAAAGTAGTTTGAACTGTATGTCTGTCCACACAAATGAAGCTCCGGGTGCCATGTTTAATTCCTAACAGGAAGTTGTGGTTGTTTTTGATGGATTCTGATTGGCTGTCAAAAGTTTTAGTTTGGCGCTACCCCGCTCCCCATGGGTTTGGGATGCTTACAACAACACTCACTGCCGTATTTGTGCAGGTTCATGTGGATGAAAACCTTTCTGAAAACAATTATGTGTATATGATATTATTTTGTAGTGTGGCAGAGTTAGTTACAATTAAGATAAAATTACTAAGCACAAGTCGTTGACGTATAGAAAATCTCTTGGAATATTAATGTAATTTATTCTACTTTATCAACAATACACTAAATCTCAAGATAATGGACGGATTGTTACCCAAAAATTTGTAAACTAGCCACATTCAGGCAGATGTAGTGTGTGTGGAACTTTATCGAAGAAAGAGTTACTTTTGGGTGGGTTAAGTGTGTGTGTGTGTGTGTGTGTGTGTGTGTGTGCACGTGTGTGTGTGTGTTTGCTTCAGTCAATGTTAAGTGGGACATCTCAGGCTGTCAGGAATCATACTCTGCCAGGCAGGTGAGCCAGTGCCTCTTTCTCACATACTCTCACTCAAACACAAATGCACGTTCTTCTGCCAGCTCCTTCACGTCTGCCTGTGCCAGGTACGTCCCATCTTTGTGTGCGAATAAAAAGCTCTGCAGATCTGACGAGTAAGAAAACACACACACACACTGGCTCGTAGAGGCACACACATTCTCACGGGGGATGAGAAGATAAGGGATGAGCAGAGAAGAGGGGGAAGAAGAGGTGGCCTCTCATCCCTCAGTCCAATACTTCTCCTCCTTTCGTTTGGTTCCATTCATTCGTCAGTTCTTTCTGTTTTGTGGCGTTCCACGCGCTGCCGCTGTCCGTCCCTGCCCGCCACTCTTCTCCTGTCCTCTCTTTCTTTGCGCTCCATCCTTTTTCTCCCTCATGCTCTGGCTCCCTTTCTTTCCGATCCATCCTCTTCTTTCTTTCTTCTTGCCTCATTCCAGTTTTCAAGAGTTGTCTGCTCTGGTCACTGCTCAGGGAGTCCACAAAGCTAAAGTAGGCTCAGAGTAGACGAACACACACACACACACACGCACACACTCACACACACACCCACGCATGCACACACACGCACACGTGCTCAAACAGACAGAAATGAGCCTCTTTCTTTTACTCCAATTTCAATTGTGTCTTGTTTGCCACCTGCAAATGTCTCTACCTCCTCCAGATCCCAGAGCTTATCTGTGCACACAGCCTAGAAAGCACTATGAGAACTGGTTGGACATCATACACATCCAAACACCAAGCATGCAGAGATAAGCCTCCTGTTCCTATCTCAATCAGTTACTGAATGCAGCGTGCCAAGGAAAGTTCAGCACACAGAAGTTCAAACTAACCAAAGAGGAAGCAATCGTTCCTACATCTGTAAAACTCAATTAGAGACGTCATTCAGAAATAACAGATGCAAAAGAAATATCGCCATAAAATACAGTGATCTCAAAGGGTTAATTGAGATTTTTATTATCAATCATATATCTTATTCATAATAGAAAAATGCTATATCATTTCGAGCTTTTAGTAGCTAAATAAGTCTGAAGTTTGGGATAGCTAACTGCTAGCAGATATATGAAGCCTGCTTTAGTGATTTAAAACAGCTCAAAATGTTTATATCAGTTGGCTGCAACAATGTTCAGTCTACAATTTCAGCTAGAAGCTGTTGTGTCCAGACAACAGCTTTATATGTGAAGCAAACGCTCCCATTTATGTTCTATACACACTGAACATTCAGAAGTACCGATTAAAGGGGCAGTATTAGGTAAAATTGACTTTTTTGAGCTTCACATCATGTTCTAATGTTATTCTGTCAGATTGTTGCTCTGATTCTTCTTTGAGAAATCCTTTAATCTCCCATAGCAACCATTCAGCTGTTCAAAACGGCTGGGTGGACCTAGCCCCGCCTTCGGATGCAGCTCCTCCCTGGATCTACAGTTTCCAAGCTCCCAAGCTTCTGCCTCACAGATCAAACCCCACTCAGCTCCTTAAGACTAGCCAGCAACAATTAACAAATATCCTGTGGAATTGCATATCTACTGGGCTCATTATAGATGTTACTTCTCAGTGGTAAAAAGGGTTAATAGAGGGGCCAAGTTGTGATGACTTTCTGAAGGCGGAGATTCAGAAAGAGCAGGAGTTTTTAAAGAGACAGAGGGCTCTGTAATCTCAATTTAATGCAACTGAGTTTGTAATTACAAACTCAAATTTCTTTTAAGTCATATTTGACATATAAAGCATTTTTGTAACAACTGAAGGTAAAATAGTTACTTGATTGTGCTATAAATGTCATTATGTGCCTGGAAAATACATATTTTAAATTGTTAGTTCTGGTTTGAATATGATCAAATCAGTTGTACCCTCTATGAAAATGTTTACCAGCATTCTCCTATCTTTTGTTTCCATCATTTTCAGCATCCCCTCCATCACCTCCATCGTTGCATATTGATTCTGCTGTTGCTCTCCAGGTGTGTTGTGACCTTTCACATCAGCTGCTCGTTCTTAAAGACTTCAAGAGCTCGAGGATGATTGAAGTCTAATCTGTGACATCCTCTGAAGATGTGAGCATGCTGGGTGTTTGTATGTGGGAGAACGGGATAGTTGCTTAGGACCTCCCATCGGTAAGGAACCAAAGGTCTTCAGAGTATTAGAGCAGGAGATCAAGGAGTCATGCCACACACACATATGAGAACATAAAAACACTTGCGCAGAAATATTGTGGTGTCTGAGTGACCTCTTGGGGAGTTCAGTGGCAAGGTGTGGTGAGAGTAGCTGTTTGAACCTGCAGATCTTAAAGACCACACACAAACCTCGGTATAATAATGTTTGGGAACTGGTTTTTAATTCTTGAGGCATCTGCAGTAACTGATCTTTCTTTTACTGAAGCACTTGTACACATATTAGAGAGGGGAAATAAAGAAGAAGGAAAGGAGACAAAGAAAGATGATGAGGAGGAGTGGATAATACAGTAGGAAGAGGAGGAGATGAAGGAGAAGAGAGGAGTCTTTAATGTGCATGGGTCTTGTAAGGTCAGACAGGGACTGGGGAGAGGGGGGAAAGGTTACAGCAAAGGTTACCATGATTTATTTAATCACTGATCCATCAGAAGCAAATACACACTTTCCTTTTAACACATACACACAATCATTTCCCACATGCCTTACTAACCAACACCCACAAAGTGGAACAGCTTAATCGTCTGTCAGGCTGAGAAAAAGAAGGAGGAGAGAAGGAAGATGGTTCTGTATTCTGCCAGCTTCTCACCATTTGTGAGTTGGTCGATGGTATAGCTTTAATGAATAACCAAACCAGTGTGTTGGCCATGTTTGAGTTGAGTGTTTCAACTCAAGTAAGTAATAGGCAAAACAGTTGCAATGGGTGACACCCTGGCTCAATAGGTAACCAAATCAGCCCAGTTAATGAGTTGATCATGTTNTATGTGGCCCGGGGGCCATAGTTTGTCCATGTCTGGTCTAACTTCTGGAAAAATACTTACTCTATAAAACACTTGTATTAATTTGTTTGTTTATGGGCATTGTCATAGGTAAAATCTTTGATTTTTACACATATGTACGAGTTGAAAAACAGGAGAAATACAAAACTTAAATTTATGCACATTTATTGACTTGCATTCACGAATTTAAATGTCCACACATGCATTTTTTATTGAATGTAGCCCCACCTTACACATAACTCCTTGTGTTTCCATAGCAACTAAAACAAACAAGAACCTGACACAGGTTGTTTGACATCATCATGTCATCAATGTTCTCATCGATGATGTCATAAAGGTTCAAAAGATTATTAACATTTGGAATACAAGAATTTTCAGTTTGCTTTTCAACTTCCTTGGAGATACAGCATTTTCAGTTTCAGAGAGACAATTTCAACCAGTGACTTTTGAAACCATTTCAAATTACTGTGAAAATGTTGCTTACTATCGGTTGGGGCCTTGGCTACCTAGTCACAAAAGGAGTTCAGAAACTACTGGGAAATAATACCGAAGAAGTTGTTGAAGATCTCAGGGACTACGAAGAGGATAACAGGAGGAGATACTTTGGTTTTGAGGAAGCGATTCCTGAAGACCAAAGTGACACGGAAGCTTCCACCATCATTGTCAGTGCCATTTCAGGTGTCGTGACAAGTTTAACAACCTTTACTCCAGAAGATATCGTGGCTTTAGAAAGCATCTGTGGACTGCATTGGGACACTTGCTCTGGGGACGCAGACACTGATAGTGAAAGTTTTGATAAAGACCAAAATGACATGGACGCTTCCGCCAACCTTGTCAGTGCCACTTCAGATGTCTTGACAAGTTTGACAGCTTTTACCCCTGAAGATACTGCGGCTTCTGAAAGCATCTGTGGACTGGACTTGGAAACGTGCCCTGGGGACGCAGACACTAATTATGAAAGTGTTGAAGAACAAAGTGACATGGACACTTCTGCCAACCTTGTCAGTGCCACTTCAGGTGTCTTGACAAGTTTGGCAACTTTTACCCCTGAAGATACTGCGGCTTCTGAAAGCATCTGTGGACTGGACTTGGAAACGTGCCCTGGGGAAGGAGACACTAATTATGAAAGTGTTGAAGAACAAAGTGACATGGACGCTTCTGCCAACCTTGTCAGTGCCACTTCAGGTGTCTTGACAAGTTTGGCAACTATTAATCCTGAAGATACTGTGGCTTCAGAAAGTATCTGTGGACTGGACTTGGAAACTTGTCCTGGGGATGCAGACACTGATGTTTGTAAAAGTGTTGAAGTTCCCCTTGAAAAAATGGACCTGGCCGTTGAAGCGGACTGTGACGGCCGGGAAGATGCGATAAATTTTGAACAAGTCTATGAGGATTCATTGGTAGAAGCAACTTCTTCTGCTGATGGAAACTCAAAAGATAGAGTTCAAAATTACGCAGACCATTTTGATGGCATGGACGCTGCATATATGGACGATTCCCCGAAGGAAATCCCTTCTACAAGCACAATTGCTCATAATGTTGTGGCACAATTTGAAGTAGTGTCTGAGCATTCTACAGTAAGACAATCTTCTTCAGAAATATTCACAGAAGATGACATTGACTTCTCCGAAAATTATGACAGGAGGGGTTTTTCCTCTAAAGAAACATCCGTCCTGGGATATTTAGATCTGACAAATTATGTGCCATATTTTAACAGAATTTCTGAGTGTTCATCATCAGAAGAAACGTTTTCAGAAGAAAGCGTGGTACATGATGTTCAACCTAAGCCACAACATCATGAAAGCATGCATGCTAAAGAAATGGATGTTTCCTTTGAGGAAGTCCGTTCTGAAAGCAGAAATGCCGGAAATTTTAGGTCACGAGTTTCCAAGTGGCTTCGCCGGGTAGGGAGTAGGTTGGCAAATCTCCGACCAAGGAGAAAAAACTAACTACTCTCTTTCTTGGCGAAGAAAAGTTTGAGGAAGCTCCTTAGCAAGTTCTTCACCTCTGGTTCCATCCACTTCGGAGGAAGTGGATGGAACATGGCCCACACAAAGTCGTTCCCCAACTCCATTGTCAATGCAGCTTATCGGAGATGTGGCCACAAGATTTCCTGTGCCTGTTTTAGGGACAACCCTAGAATCAGCTCATAGGCACCAGAAGGGAGGGATGCTCTCAAGCCAACACAGAGGGGAAACAAGAGACAGCTGGAGACAACTAAGGGGTAGATGGTTGGACGAACTCCCACGCACCGCACCTGGACGAGCGATCCAACTCTCACTGAAAACGAGCCTGACTTAATGCTGGCAATGCGGACCAGAGTCTGACACCGGTCGTACAAGGACCTGACAGCGTCTATCAAAGGGCCCGGTACCCCATACTCCCAGAGGACCAACCCACAGGACTCCCTGAGAGGCGTGGTCGAACACCTTCTCCAAGTCCACAAAACACATGTAGACCGGTTGGGCGAACTCCCACGCACCCTCCAGGATCCTGCT